TTTAACGACACATCTGGTAAAGCGCGTTTAAGTTCCCACGTCTGCCTCAAAACTGATAAAGCGCACGATATCGGAAACGTTCTGCCGATAGAGCCCAAGCAGCTGGAGACAAAGGCTACATTCAAATCGCTGTGTAACTGTAGTGACTCTTATCAGCGAGTTTGAACAAACACGACAGACGGAGAAAACTCTCGGTTTTAAGTGTCTGTCATTCAAAGGAAATTGTTCGGTATCACCTTTGTCGCTGTCCTCTCAAGGATAAGTAATGAAGATAACAGTAAAAGACGGTTCCTCCTCTCGACGGCTTCAGTTCAGACAGAAAAGTTTTGCCCGCACACTCTAATCTGGGTCTTTTGGCATCTGTCTTTTTGAATCATCCAGTTCTACTTCAGATATAGCAGAAGGGAAAAAAAAAACATTTTAAAGTGTTTTTTTAGAGCTTTTTTACACCCAATCTCTTGGCGTCTTTTGTCCAGTGGTCAAAGAGGTCGAACACTGTTATGTTTCGCTTTGTAAGATTCCGACAATTTGGACAATATGTGCGCTGCTTTGTGTCCAAGAGAAGCCACATAACAACTACGTAATTATCTTTCTGTTCTGCAGTCGCCCAGGATCTAATCCAGAAGTCTGCATCCTCCACCGAAGGAACAACAATGACCCCCCGACCAAACCCGCAGACTCGACATTTGGCCTTTACACATAATAAATAATAGCTCTGTTCTTCGATCATTCCTAAACGGTCTCCCATTCACTTCCCGGAGCACCTTGTTTATCTGCGTCTTTGTAATAAAACTGACCAGAATGAATCCCGAGATCAGCCTTACCTTTGATAAATAAATTACCGAGCGCAGATGTCTCCTTAATTCACCATGTGCCTGCCATGTGTCAGCTTTGAACAGGTTCTTAAATTTTGTCTTTGATACCTGCGTTGCTTGTTCTTAAATGTGTAATCAAACCTAATCCTCTTGTTGTTGCTTTTTAGGTGTTTGTCCCTGAAGAGCTGCAATTACCTGCAGTAACACACACAGCCTTTGACTTTGGATCCCCTTTTTTTTATTTATTTTTTTTGGCAAAAGAAAGAATTTAGCAGTCGCCCCCCTATCCATGACTGGTTTACAGACTTAATGGAGCGCATTAAGTTTTTTTGGAGTTACCACGTGTAGATGACAGAATAAACAAAGACGGGTTTTTGTTTTGAACCTAAAGAGCACATTTTTATCATTTTTTTAAATAATCTTTGACTTTCCTGACACCTCGATGTCCTCTCCTCTCTGCTGCTTTTTTCTCCCTCCTCCCTGTCATTAACTCTGTCTCTCTTTGCAGCCTCTCCTCCCTCTTTCTCCTCCCCCGTCATCTCCCCTTTTGCTTGTCCTCCCCAGAGGGCCATGATGCAGCAGGGATGGACTTTTGCTGAGAGGGGGAGGATTATACACCAAATGCATACCCCACAGACACTTTCCTCTTTCTTCCTCTGTCTTCCTGCCTAAATCGCGTTCCTTCTCTTTGGATACCTTCTCTTTTTTTCCCCCCTCCCGCTGCAGGAGCTCCATATTAGGGGAGCTTCCACCTCCATTTCTTCCTCCACTGTCCCTCCTTTGCCCCTCATCCCTCTCTCCCAGGACTGAAGCCAATAACAGTGTTGGGGTCACCTATGTTAATTACCGTGCCAGTGCAACTGGGAAAAATTTCTGCAGCAACACATTCACACGTGAACAGTTCTCTCTCTCTCTCACACACACACACACACACAGGAGTCGGTGAGTAAGCATGTGTCACCGAAGCAGTGTGTGAGAAAATAATAGTTTCAAAGACAAGGGAAATGGAGAAAGTGAGGAAATGTCATGGAGAAGGATGCCAGCAGTACAAAGGAGAAGGTGGGAGAGGAAAAGTGACCGCAAGTTTAGAAGAGAAATGACTACAGCGGTGAGAAAACCCACAGATATAATCCATTAACGATTCTGCGTCGCCGTCCACTCGACTGACCTCACCTTCAGAGAGAAGTGCGACGAGAATACGGCTAAAATCTCAACAATATGTAAGGAAAGGAGAAAAATAAATAAATAAAAAAATCTGCTTTCCCCCCCCCTCTCTTCATTTTGAATGAATAAATGCATTGCAGAAAACTGCACCTTCAGCGTGGACTGCAACCATTAGTTCACCAAGGAGCGGATGTCAGCTACCTGCAGAAAGCAACGTGTGTGGTTTTACCTCTGGCTCGGGTTGAAAGATGCTGCTCCTTTGGTAGCAGCTCGGCTTGAGGAAATTCGATGTAAAGTTTGGGAGCGTTTTGTCTCAGTTTTTTTTGTGCACTGTGCAGGTTCTCCTGTTCTCCCCCTTTATTTATTCTTATTTTTCTCACCTTTGCCTGCTTTGCTCAGATTAGCTGAACTAAGCAGAGATGGAGGAAGGAAAATATAGCAGCTATCCATCCTCTCTTTCTTTCTTTTCCCTGTCCCTGCTCTGCCCATCCTGCCTCCCTGCCTCCCTGCCTGTCTGTCTGTCTGACTGTCTGTCTGACTGTCTGTCTGTCATGCACACAGGGTCTATTTATGGAAAGCAATGTCACTCACGCAACACCATCAGATCGCTTTCTCCCCGGCCTGCTCGCTGCTCATACATCATTAACATTCTCCCAGACCCCAACACACACGGCACACGGCACGCTGCCAATCAAACGACGCAGGAAAAAACAGGAAAATTGCCATCCAGCCTCACGCTGTCCGTACTTAAACATCAGGCAGACTAAATGTCCACTTAGAGGAAATCTGAGCAAAATCCTCGCAGCTTACAGTGTGTTTACTTCTTCTGACAAGAGATTAACAAAGCACGCCTCGTTAGAACAGATGCTCGCGTGCAATTACTACACCTGCAGCTGTAACTTATCAATGAATCTGTTGATAAATGCTTCTGATTAATAAAATAAAAATAACTGTCAATTCATTGTCCTGTATTTCTTGGTCTAACAGAACAATCAAACAACTCTCACGCTTAGGGCTGCCACTTCAGATGAATCTATCAACTATCTAACTGTTAATTGTCCTCTAACGAAGCCAAATGATCATTTTATTTAAGTTCACTGTATTTTGACAAACTACATATCATCGTATAAGGCAGCACAGTGCAGAATGTAAGCAAAAGTTTGCATATGAAAGTGCAAAACTGCAGGTTTAAACTGAAAAAGTCAGTAGAGCAACTTCAAAATAAACCTGAATAAAGTCACAAAGCTTGGATTGTGTTCTAAAGTGCAATTCAGACGTACTTTGCAAGTACAGAAGAGCTGGAGTAACTTGTTCTTTTACTGTAATTCTTCTCTGACTTTGGTAATAGACAAAAATAAATAAAAATGCAGCCGACAGCAGACCGCGCTGTTAAATAAGCGAACGCGACTGCTGGTGAATAAACGAGCCACGTTTCAGTCACTATTTCACACTCGGTCTGTTGTCTGACAACAGAAACAGAAAAAAAACGAGTATGACAACAGCTTAACTGGAACACTGCTGCATTAAAATATTTGAGCACAGGGAGCAGGAGAGAAGAACACAGATGTAAAGTGCCTTCTTTGTGTTTCTCCTTCAGGTGTTTGTGCTGCTGTGGGCTACAAATGAAACCTTGCACAGGTTACAAACCACCTTTTTTTTGTTTATGTGATAATTTGAAGTACTCCCAGACTTTCAAAGCCCTTTACACTGAACTGAGCTGGACTTTGCTGTTGCCTCTATTGTCTAAAAATGCAGCAGGTGACCAATGACTGGAGACAAAAACAAATGACATCATGATGCAGAAATGTAGTGACACAGCAGTAAGACGTCTGTTATATTGAATTGAAGTAAAGAAATAATCTTGATGTTGACTATTTTCAGCATCAATGCCATCGACTAATACCGACTAACTGCGGAAGCTCTACTCGTGTTTGCATTAAGCTTGCAGGCTAGTTTAATTCAGTCTGCAGACAGAACTAGAAGGAGACTAGCTTTAGAGATGCTGATAGATGTTGCTTGTTATTTTCAGGTTAGGTTTTCTCAAAACGTTGTGCCAATTTATAAAAACCAGCTGCTGCATGTAGCCTCAGATCGACAGAAGAGTGGAACCAGGCTTCTCATCAGTGAATAAAATGTTGCACTATTCCTTTAAAGGCTCATCCACAGACAAAGACAAATGTCACAAAGCTTTTCTTCAAGGAAATCTAAACTTTATAACCTTTTTTATGTAAACGATTTCACAAAATGCTCCCAAAGCTTGGACCCCAAATGATATAATGTGAAAAATCTAATATTCGCAGGTGACTTTCGCGTACAACTATTTTTTTTCACTTAAACAATTATCCGTCGCAGAAAACTGCGGTTTTAAGTGAAAACCACATTGTCGGTTCACCTTCAGTGATTCCGTGAATATCTTTCGGTGGGGCGTACAGTTATTTTAAAACCTCAATTTTGAAAGTGTTACCGGTTTAATGTGGGTCAAAGTGTCAAATAAGGCTTCTGTGTGTGCGTGTTTGAATGCAAGACAGAAAAGGAGAGAGTGATGCACAAAGAGGGAGAGAGAGAGAGAGTGTGAGTGACCTCGTCAGCCTCCGAGACAGCCTTCAGAGAACAGTGATGACAGGAGGAATTAGTGAAGCAACACAAACCAGAGAAAATAGCCTCCTCTCCTCTCCTCTCTCCCTAAACCTACCACCGCTTCCACTTGCATACAGATCAATCTTATATTTAGGAAAATGCATCATATCGGTGAAAACCCTGTGAGTCTGAAGCGTCACACAGAGCAGCAAGAGTTAACAACCCGAGCGTGGACATATGGGACGGAGGCAGAGAGACAGAGAAGGGAACACATCTGGACAGGGATTAGGACAGCTAAAGAGGCTAAAAAAGGAGGAGGAGACAGAAGGATAGGCTTAGCGGTGGTCGAGGGAGGGGCGGAGGGGATGTGCGATGGTTGGAGGTGGTGGTGCTGGTGGTGGGGGTGGGTGAAGGATGAAGTCAGGAGAAGACTCGTTTTCTTACTTGAAAGAAGCCCGGGGGCATGGGTCCTCCCGGCATGCCATCGTTGGGTGGCATGTTGCCCATCACTGGACTGGGGGCAGCGGCCGCGCTCTGCAAAAAAAAAAAACACAAGTTTACTCCCAGTGTTGGTGTTCAGTGGAGCCACGCACAGCTACAGGACAACCAGCAAGGTGTTAAAATACAGCACAATTAGCAGAGAGACAGAAATGATTTGCAACTAAACTTCTAACCCTGATTGCATTCTTTGCAGAGAAAATGGAGCAATTATAGATATCTGATGATATCTGATGAAGATATGATTATTTGGACAAAGCGATAAATGAAAATGCAGATATAGAACATATAGTAGATTCCAGTAAACTAGATTGTATGTTGCAAACAGCAAAACTAAACGTATGCTTCCAGAATCAGTAGAAAATGAATGTGTCACACATTTCATTGGCTGAAAGTTGAAAGAAGCTCGTCTGCAGCATGTTTTGCTGTTTCGGTTGACTGATGTATAAAAAAACAACAACCCGTAAATCAGTATTATGATCTTTGATTTATGCAACAGCCTTTATTTCTGCATGCAACCCCTGTTTGGATGTGGCCTCCAAATATATTTCTGGCAATATTTCCTTCATCTCTCCTCTCAATTATAATGATTTTCTACATCGGGGAGGAGACAGATGTGACACTCGCTGCTCTGGTTTTCTTCTGAGGCAGCCAAGCTGACAGTCGGTGTTTGGTCATGACTGCTTTGTCACAGCTCGACATTCACACACGGACAGGACAACGAAAGGAGGAATCAAAAAGTTACACTCAGAGCAAAGTTTAAGGCAAAGGATGCTTAGAAAATGTTCCCAATACTGTGGAAGAGGACTTACAAAGCTACAAGCAGCTACGTAGCACACTGGCAGACCACACTGTAAAAAATAAACATTTATAACATTTGACTACTGAATTATCTGTTAATTTAGAGTTTTCTGTTTTTGATAAATGACAAATAACAACTAATTAAAATCACAATATTTGACCATAAAATCATTTAAAATAATCAAACATTGTTATTTTACAGCTATTTGACATTATTTAAAGAAAAAAATATAATATTGGTAAATGTTAAATCATTTTTTTAACCGTTACTTTACATAATTTCACTATTTTGTTAAATTACAAAGAAATAACCAGTAAAAAAAAAAAATCAAATCACAGAAACAAAACTATTAACACATTACAAAAGGCCAAAACTAGTCATTTGTTCTTTTAAAATGTCTGATAATAAAATTATCCTTCTAAAAGAAATAAAAACAGCTGAGAATATTGTTATTTTACAGCTATTTTCTATATATATGTTGGATTAAAAAAAAAAAAAAAGTTAAAAAAAAGCTTATTTTTTAAAAATCAATGTACATGTTTGTTAGAAAAATAGGTCAAACTGTAAAAAAAAATGTCCACATCAGAAATCTATATTTTTACAAGTAATATTTTTTCTTTTTCCCTCTTTTACAAGGCGTTGCCATAAAATTACACCATTTCAATGTATTTCAGCTAAAAATTACATTATTTTAAACATATCTGCCTGTACTTTTGGGGGAGTTTTAAAGTTTTGTTGTTGCCATATTTTTACAGGATACTTTTTACAGTGTGTCTTTATGTTTTCCTGACAAGCGACCTTGATGTGTTACCTGTGGGAGGATGAGCAGGTTTAAAAATAAACCTCTCCTAACCATGACCACAGCTTTTCTCTGACCCCAACCACGTGGTTCTCATGACCACACCTCAGCCATGTCAGAAACGGCTCAATAGTGCCAATATTTCCATTTTACATCCACAAACACGTATTTCCTGCTGAACAATCACAGACTCGCATCCACGAAACGTACAAATGCGCTCACGCTCGCTCTGCTCCAGCCCTTCCCCCCGCTGTAACTAGAGCTTCACTCACTTCCACTGCAAACAATCCCTCCATGCCTCGGCTGACCTGCACGGCCCAGACACTAACTAACAGGCCCCGAGGCCACGAGGCAGGACACACACAAGTGCACACACACACACACACACATGGTGGTAAAAGGGTGTGAATCTGTGGGACTCTGAACACAACATAAGAGACTTACAGACATGGACATCAACCGGAGTCAGACACAAGCAGAAAGTGGAGATAGAGAGAGAGAGAGAGAGAAAGAGAGAGGGAGGCATTTAAACAGACGGAGCTGGAAAACCGGAGAGGAGGAGGCAGCCGGAGTTCTCTCGAAGGGTGATGAGAGGTCGGACAGTGAAGAACAGCCCACTATGTCTCGGTCTATGTGTGAACCATGTCAGTTCCTTCCAGCCTCAGCGGCAGACAAGCACGAGGAAGAGGTCAAGACCGAAGCACAAAGTAAAGGAGCGCGTGGCTAACTTGCTGTCAATGCAGAATTAACATTTTACTGGGGTTCACTGATAACCTGAGAGCTTCTTGTTCATAAAAAATGCACATTAACCCTCCGTACAGGACAGGTATGGAAAATTTTCTGCCTTTTGCTCGTGGCCACGTGGTCTGGGAAGAATAGCAACTGGGGCTGATTTAAGGCATCTCTAGCCAACCAAAACTGTGAAAAAATGCCAAACAAGTCCTGGTTTCTAGTAACCAAAACCTGTCCAAGAACCAGAGTTGCATCCAATTAACATCCAGCCAAAAGACACCGTGTTGGGTCTGTCTGTTATCATATGTACCACCTGAGCTAACCAATCATTAGGTTTGATTTGTTCTTTTCTATCAAGATGACTTGGGGTGCATAATTAAGTAAAATATTATCAAAATCACAATATGAACAACACGTCAAAACAATAATTATAAATGAAGAATTCTGGTGCGACAGAGACGCTCTGACCTATAAATCACTTTCTCCAAACATAACAGCTTACTAGGTGAAGCAAAAATCACTTTTATTTATAATTATTATGTTATTATTTATTTAAAAATGCAGAAATGGCTATTTGCACTAAAATCATCACTTGGAATATTATTAAAATTCTGACAATATTACTTTATTTTGCAAACCCTTCAGCCTTAAGAGGACTGGACTGTGAAAAAGAGGTGCTGCTCTTCTCAATAGCTACTTGGTGTGAGGCTTGACTCTTGGATTTTTCCATTTTTTCCATTTATGTGGACATGTCAAGGTTGCTACTGGCTCCTCTTGGATTGTGTGTATATATTTCTATAGCAGATGCACAGTCAAATAAAGTTGTGTTGTTTTATCGCTGGTTTTGGGTCCCTGTGTTATCATCGGAGTTCATCCAAAATTAAGTTTAACTGTGAGTAAAGGAGATAAAAATGCATTTCTTTTCTATCAAGTTGGACTAAGGCGGTGCAATTAACTCAAATATGATCAAAATCACAATATGACAAGCTAAAATACATTGAGACATATATTCTAAATAAAGAATTCTGGTGCTACAGAGAAGCTCGGACCTATCAATCACTTTCCTCCTGACAGGAAAAGCCTGCTTGGTGCAGAAACAAAATCACTATTGTTTTTATTGGTGCAAAAATTGCTATTCACACTTTTATCTTGAAATATTGTTAAAATATTGACTTTTTATTTTGCAAACCCTTCAGCCTTAAGAGGACTGTGCTGTAAGACAGAGTTGCTGCTCTTCTCAGTAGCTAGCTGGTATGAGGCTTGGCTGCCCTTTTGGGTTTCTCCATCGTTTTACATTTATGTGGACATGTCAAGGTTCCTACAGGCTCCTCTTGGATTGTGTCTGTATTTCTGTAGCAGATGCATAGTTAAATAAAGTTGTTTGACTTTGTCTTATCATATTTACCAGCGATCTGAGTTAATCCAGCATTAAGTTTAAATGTGATAAAAGGAGATAAAAGTGCATTTTTTTTGTATCAAGGACTAAGGCTGCATAATTAACTAAAATATGATCAAAACCACAACATGACAAGCTAAAATACATTGAGACATATATTTTAATCACTTTTATTTTTTTTTTGGTGCAAAAATTGCTACTTTTTTCTTTTTTTTTTTGCAAACCCTTCAGCCTTAAGAGGACTGTACTGCAAGAAAGAGTTGCTGCTCTTCTCAGCAGCTAGCTGGCGAGAGGCTTGACTGCCCTTTTGGGTCTTTCCATCTTTTCTCACGTATTTAGACACGTCAAGGTTCCTATAGGCTCCTCTTGGATTGTGTCTGTATTTCTATGGCAGACGTGACGTTGTGTGAAACCAGCTTCGCAAATGGTGCAACTTTTTCTTTTTTCTTTCCCCCCCCTCACATATCTCCACACTGGGAATCCAAGACGCTGCCCCTGACCCCCGTGATAATTGTGAGCCTTTATCGAACAATGAGCGGCAAAAACAATAGGCTAAATACTGTATATTTGCACACATGTGCGCGCACACAATTGCAAACAGTTAACCAGCTGTTGTGTTTCTGAGAGCATTAAGGGATCAGCGCAGAGAGAGAGAGAGAGAGAGAGGGGGGAAAAAAAAGAGGATGAGAGATAGAGGAAAGGAGGGCGAAATGAAAATGAGAGAAGGAAGACGGTTGGATGGACGGCGGGGCATCTCGGGGAAAAAGAGGAGGAGGAAGAGGAGGAGGAGGAAGAGTGAATGGAAGTGGTGCTGGCATGTAAGTATATGTGTGGCGAGTGTGTGTGTGTGTGTGTGTGTGTGTGTGTGTGTGTGTGGCTGCCTGCCTCAGCCAGCCAACGAGGCTCCACAGTACTCAGGTGAAGCAGCAGCAAAAGGCCCCTTCTCCTAGTTGCCATGACAACCCCGACCTCAGCTCCTGCTCTCCAGTGCCCATTAAAACCCTCAGGCCGTCAATCATCAGCATGGCCAGGGAGCAGAGAGAGAGAGAGAGAGAGAGGGACACGGAGAGAGAGAAACCAAGAGGTAGAGAAAGAGAGAGAGAGGAAAAAAAAAAACAAGAAAAGAAAGAGAAAAAGAAACAGACATGGAGTTTAAAGCAGCCTGTGGCTTTTGATAGCTGCCCTGTTTGCCACAGCTATCTCCCTCCTTTTTCCTCTCCCTCTTGCACACAAACAAACCTGATACACAATGCCGGCGCGGTGTTAACTCCTCGCGCTCATCACTCCTCCTTTAAGCTCTCTCCACC